ATTTAGTACATTGTTCGAATAAATTTTATGTAAAATATCATACTATTATTTATATTTATATGATGATATATCTTACACATTTATTGGAATAATATACCTACTAATTTTTAATTTGCTTAAATTTGTTTTGCCATTTCTTAAGCATATACAGTTTACTATTTTAAGTAACAATTTAAAAACATTGTTTACTAAAAAATTAATTAAATTTTTATAAATTAATATTTAATCAAAGAATAGATTATATATTATTGACATACAATAATGTCGTACAAGATAGCATTGTACAAACCTATTTTATTTCTTACTACTTTCTTTGAATCACAATTAAAGTTTTTCAAATCATTAAACATTTCAAATAAATACATTAAAATTAAAATTAAAATTAAAATTAAATGTTTCAAAAAATACATTAAATTATAGCGTATTAATAATTTAGGTTTTTGTGTTTTATCCGATTTAATTTAAGTTTTTGTGTTTTATCCGATTTAAGTGTCATGTTTTTGAAAATACAGACGTGACAGCTCTAACATTAGCTCATACTACTTTATTCTTCATAGAAAACTGCGCTCATCAAGCATAGTGCGAATCACTTCGAAAGCTCATCGAGATTTTCGTATACAGTCGATAAGGCAGGAAAGAAAGCTCAGTTGTGATATGGATTCATATCATGTGAAAAAAGCTTATTAGGTATCTACTTTATCAACAGATGCAAGTTCATAATAGGGTTATGCGTTTACGCGTAAAATATAATAATCTACATTTACGTATATACACAATATAAACTATGTTTTACATGTCGTTTATGTAAACAATCTATGGGTCATCGAAGCCTGCGTTCTTTAATGTTACACTAGACTGCACTAAAGTTTCTATCTCGTTTATATACTTTTATTTACTAAACTACTCAAGTTATATGTCGCAATTGACAGTTATAAAACTTACTTTTTCTATGCTTTATGCTATAATTTATAATACATTCGTATAAATTTAACTCAAACAATATATATCCACACAGCACATTTTATCCGAAAGACACAGGAACTTCCTTAAAAGAAAACATGTTAAAAGAGGAATAACGTTAGAGGATATAAGGATGTTCAACGTCTTCAAGACATCCCTTTGAGATTTATGCTGTATGAGTAAAAATTGCATGTATAAACGTAAGCTTGAAATATACTACACAATTTAGTCTATTTTAGTCTAATAATACTTGATAAATATAATTATAAGCATCAAAAAGTGACAGAGCGTTGTTATAACAATTTATATACTTTTGGTCGATGATAAACAACAATTCATAAAAGCAATAATTGTTATAATCGTATGTAGCAATTTTTCTAATACTTAATTCTAATAATTAATTCGTACACAATAACAAAATTAAATATCTACTTTTATTCATAAAAGTTTGATACTTTACTGGAAAGTATAATGCAAATAATCAAATTCCAATATAAAATATATTACTTTTAAATAAAATACATTTATCAGTAAATACATAAATTTAAAGCAATTTATATTTGTTTCGGAAAACAATTAATTTACAATAAAAACGTTAAAAACACCACAAATTTAATCATTAATAAAGTAAAAAAGACGGTTTTCTTTTATCTAATGTAAATTTTGTCTTTTAAAATATTACGACATATTAAAAATATACTGATAATTTTTGATAAAAATTGAATTTCTTTTCGGAAACAATTTTTTTTTTGTAATATCCTTATATACCTTACACAATATTAGATATGTGGCTTTATGTGAAGCAAATTATATGTATAAGAAGGTGATGCGCTCAATTTATATGGTTCATCATCCGCGGCGTAATCGACAAGATACCTAATCGAGGTACTTCGCGTAAATAATGTTATTAAACAAAGCTTCAGATTTAGAAACGGTGTAGGGGAAATCGCATTACTCGACAGAATGAACACGATGCATGATAGAAGGGAAATCAATGAACCAGTTGATCGCATCAATAATGTTTGTTACGAAACATTCCCCCTCTGTATTATGCTAAATAAAAGTTCCAAATACTAGTATGAATTTCCTTCAGTAAATTATATACATCGCATTTAATTTTAACTTCTTTTAATTCATATGCTTAAATACGAAATTAAATTAAATGCAATGTGATATATTATAATTAAATTTGTGGCATTATTGAGCTATATGGCTTTATATGAACCAAATTATATAAGAAAGTGACGGGCTCAATTTATACTGTTCATCATCCGCGGCATAATTGACAAGTATCTAAAATCGAAAATAACGGTCATTTAAAAACAAAAACATAATCAGAACACAAGACGTCTTTAAAAGGTGTCTGATTTTATATTTTGTGTTATGTTAATATCAATTTATTGCAGAAATGTTTTTATAAATTGTAAGCTGTTCTATTTAATTATCTTTTCATCTATTTAAGCATCATATTATTTCTAAATTACAATTCAATCTATAGAACATATTTTAAATACACTTTTTATATTGTCAGATTCTCAATCCCATAAAGAGATGACAATAAGGATACGAATGCATTCAAGCATGAGAATACTTTAAGAAAATTACATTTGATCCGTGTAGTCTTGAAAACGTGCTGAGAAACTGATTGATAATTCAAGATAATGTCAATCAGAATATGACAACGCAAAAGAAATGAACTCTAACATTTCCGTTACAAGAACAGTGTCTTATTAGATGTTTGTACGCAAATTTGCTTCAGAATTTTGTTTCTACTTTTAATATAATACAATTTTTATTCTACACTAAACAGAAATTCTGTTAAAAGAAATTATATATACATAATACATATGTATATACGTATCCTATGTAGCAAGGTGTCATCTATTTGATGTCATTAATTAGTCACTATTATAACTAATCTAATGAATCTGACATTTACACTAACGTCCAAACATCGTAAAAATAACGTGAATTTATCATAGCCACATAACGTTATAAATTGACGTCAAAAATTGTCTATTTTTATGTTTAACTATTTACAACTTAAATGAATGACGTTATTAACTTATTACTATAGTCAACATCATCTATCCGATGTTAATAAGTATGACGTTGTAAATAAATCGTAGGACAAATAATTGACGTCATTAATTAGTCAAAAAAATGACTCCATTATTACATCTTAAATAGCTAACAGACATCAAAATATATGACAACAGCTTGCTACCTGAATAAATGTACACACGTATGTATATAGCAAACATTATAGTTTACATTTCTACATATAACTTTTTATAGAAAAAAACAATTAGAGCAAATTTAATTACTCATTAAAACCGATATGTTATAGGGTAATAGTGTTTATATTTATTACATATTTTCTCAGAGTTACTTTGAGATTTTTTTTATGACATCATAAACATAAGTGGATATCTCCTTTCTGTTAGTCTCAACAAATCTTTTAAATAAGTTTTTCTTGGAACTCTATATATGTATATCGAGCTTCCATTTTATTACTTTCTCTGGCATTAATATTGAATAAAAGCATTTTTTTATTTGTTCCTAGATTATCCCTTTTCGTCTAAAATCATTTCCAAACAAATTTAAATTAGTACAAATAAATATATGTTACAAGTGGTTGTAACTATTCATGAAACTAATGTAGGAATTCCTCCGATATTTTTCAGATTTTTAACAGTAAAAGCAAAACGCGTAAAAACATCGCTAAAAATAATATTTATCACAAAGTAAACTTTCTGCGTTAGAGAAGATTATTCTCTGCAATTGCTAATCTACACAATTCTGTACGTAAAACTGTACAAAGTACTTCATGAATAAATATGAAAAATTTCTTATTACACTCGCAATATTTTCCATTAACTACAATTGCATTCTTATATTCTTTACACAAAAAAATTAAGAAGTAATTTTAAATATATTTAAAAAATTTAAATATATTTAAAAAATAAAGATTTAAAAAATTTTTTGAAAATAACTCTCTGAGACTTATTTGTTTCTAGTATAATAAATAACAAATATTATTCATTTTTTTCCTGTATTAATGTATCTTTAAATTAATCCGTAGAGGAAAGTTGCCGATACTGATATAGATCTCCTAAAGTGACACCCCCTTATATCTCAGAAACTAACTATTGTATTTTATTAATATAATACTAATAAAATCATGATCTGTTTAGCTAATTAAAGAAGTACAAACTCATAATTCATATATTTGTGGCTTATTTCTACACCAAATCAGCTAAAAACCAATTCTATGAATCCGAAAAGAAAATTCTTACGGTGTTCTTTTGCAAATTGCGTAATTAAAATAATAGTGACTGTGTTATTGATAATATTATGTCATTTTAAATGTTTATAGTTTCATAAATTAGTTTTCTTTACAGAGAATAGGACATATCTTTATTTATAGAATAGGAATGTTGGTATTATTGCCTAGTATGTCAGTTTTGAAATCCATTTTGTCAGACGCTCATTTTTGCATAACTTACGAAAAACTTAATTATTGCAAAATTGCAAACAGTACTATAAAAATTGCTTATACTATCTGATAGAAGACACTTTTTACTTTGTATTTATGTTTTTGAAGTTGTATTTTTACCTTTTGTTTAAGAAATATTGTCTAAAAACAAAGTGGTATGTCGGTATCAGTGACCTTCCTCTAATCTATAAAAAAAAATAAAAAACTCATGATCGAATTATTAAATAAGTTAAGACTTATACTAAAAATTACGAATTAATTGTACATATTGAAAATCGATCTTCGACTTCTCTTTTATATAAAAGATGTCCAATTAAATAGTTACATTCTTATTATGAACAGTGCATATCATAATATATGTTATTTACTTGATTTATCCAGTTTTTCTTTGTACGATTTTTAAATAAAAAAACAAGAGATTTTACTTTGATCATTTTCTACAAATACACTTGTAGTTGTCTGATGATAAAATATTTACGTTTACTATAATATACTGATAACCATATTGGGAACATTCTATGTAACACACATACACATTAACTTAGTGATGCATTTATGACTCCTGCTGCTTATGCTATATCGCAGTTCGTTGATCTGGAGAATCCAATGCGATTGGATTATAGTTCGCTTTATGCTCCAGCTAGTAATATCGCTAATGATGTTGAATCGATTACTTACGTGTAACGAATAAAAGTGACAAAGATATAGCTCCACACTTACCTGAAACAAGAAAATTAAAATATCGTGAATAGGTTGTTTCAAGTAATAAAATCAGTTAGTAATAATAACAATACATTTAAATAACTACGAATTTTTTAACTTTCTCTCTCTCTCTTGACAAATTTTTTAGCTAAATAATACGTTAAAACATAACAATAAGAATGAATAATAAAAGTAATCAGTTTAAATGTTATTCACAATTTGATCAATGTATTAGAATGCTATTTATATATATATATATATATATATGTATATATATATGAATAATTTATATTTAATAATCTTACTTATTATAATTATCATAATTGTATTTATCTAAAAATATTTTGAACAAAGAAATTCACAATTATATATGTTGCAATATAAATAATTTTTTTTAATTAAGATTTTAAGAAAATTATATAAAATTGTCAGAATTTCCACTAAAAACAAAATCAATATTCCATCATGACAAATAAAAAGACAGACACAAAATAAATCATTTTCTATGTCTGATAAAGTCCACAATTTATGCGCGATATAAAATTATTTAAAATTATTATTTCGCCATACTAATAAAATCATATTACTCCTTAAAAAGTTACGAAATGCATCAAGTAATATAACAACAGTTAAAATAAAGATATAAAATAGCCGTACATCTTTATATATGTAGAATTGCGATAAAGTTGTAAATTTCGTCACAATTTAGCTTAAATAGAAGATATTAAGTTTGACTTAATATTGCTATGAATTTGAATTTAATAGTTAAAAGATGATATTAAACTTGTTTTCGAAGAATTTACGACGTCATGTGCATAAGTTTGTTTATGGCATTTCTGAATGCAAAACGATATTCGACATTAAGATCCATAAGATCTGAGAAACCGTTATTCTGTTATATTATGCTTTCTCCTACTCAAAATTATATTTTTAATTTATAAAAATTATTTTTTATGGCTATATGCATTCGTTTTTAAGTTTATCGTTTTATGTTATTACGTATCTTTTCACGTGATTATCATAATTCATATATTCATTTTTATAATAGAATAGCTATAATATGTATAATGTACTAAAATTAAGAGAAATAAATCATCTATAAATATAGCATTTGTTAACATTAACATAAATTTCTAAAACAATTATATAAATTTATATAATTATATTAAATAAATAATATAAATTTCTAAAAAAATTTAAAAAATTGACTTTATTTTTGCAAAAATTTACGTTATAAATATAAACATAAACAAACGAAACGGTAAAATTGCCATCGTATATTTAAATAAAAAGAACTTGTAAAAATTTTCTGGAAAATATGTAAATAAAAGCAATATGTTTCAGGCATATGAAAGATCCTTTCATTTCTTCAGACTAAAATAAACTTCTCTCTTTCATCTTAGTTTCCCTTTGGAAATCACTATATGCATTATTTCATTGTAATGTAATTTAATAGAAAATTGTATATTACAAACAATCTCTCATAATTTTAATACTGCTAAAAAATTTTTATAGACATTATTATATATATAACAGAATATGTATCAGAATTTTTAAAATTAATATTGTTATATTACATTTAGTTTACTCATGTTTTATATAATTTTTTTTATAATTTTTTATACAAATATTACATGAAATTATTCATCAACTGCCTACGAAATTTTGATGCACTGCTAGACGGAATGCCATGTCAAATTTATATACTGTGACACACAAAGCGCACTCATGGTTTTATTGTCCAATATATTACAGCAATCACTATTGATTTTCGATGAAATGACTATATACATATGATATTGTCGATAACGATGATCGATAATCGGAAGCTTTTTCTTTGTAGAGTCGTTTTTTCTGCACTCAGTCGTTTACGATGCACTTGCAAGACAAAGCATCTTAGCGCTTGCTTAATAAAAAAAAGTTGATAATGATATTATTAACCTCTCCCACAACACTTTTAACATTTTTATTTAAAACATGGTCAAACCTACATGTCCATTTTATCTATATCATAACGGATATTAATAAACTTACATTTTTTTATTAAGAAGAAGAGATAAAAAAGTACAATTTTTTTTTTAAAGGCTTCAATAATAATACATAAAAAAAAGTACAAAAAATTTCTATAATAAATTAATTTTTTTTTCATACATCTGTATTTAGAATAGCTATAATAGCTGTAATAGCTATGACATATTAATGTATTTATTATTTTTTATATAGCTTGTAAACTATTATTAGTAGAATAAATTGGAGAATTTTTCGAAGTAATAGTGTAGTAGAAAATATAATAAAAATCCTATAGTAATTTATATATATTAAACTTCAACATAAAAATATGAATAAGAATAAAATGATAATATTATTATCGAAATAAAAGCCCATTCATAATCATTTATTTCAATAGCATAAAACTTGATAAATATAAGAAATTCGAAAATTGGATTCAATTTTTTCGTTCAAAATTATACTATATTTGAATTATTTGAAATTGTATATTATTCTATCTTACAAAAATATGGATAAACGTAGATTTCGTAAAAAAATAAGCATAAATAATTTTTGTTCTCACATTATTTTTAAATTATAAAAATTTATTTTTATATTTTTTTAGGGTTTATATAGCATAATTAATTTAATATTTTGTGTATTATTTTGTTTTAATTTTTTTACATAACTAATATAGGTTCAAAACATGTTATTTCAATGAATACATTCAACAAAGCTGACTATTTTTACGAAATAATAAGTGAAAATTTAAAAACTTTATAACTTTTTATGGCTTGTAATCGTGTAGCTATGTTGAGATAAAAGAGTTAATTCGCCATGCAAATTAAGTTCGTATTTATAAAAGCCATTCAACTTTCGGACTCTAAAGAAAGATCGTACAAATCTTGTATTGAGATTATCTAACGAAACGTAAACCGATAGTTTACGAAGTAGAATAAAGTCAGAACGTTCGAACCGGAAACCGACGAACCTTTCGTCCAACCTGAAGGACGACCTGGACAAATCGCTCCAGGCGCTCATACTCCGGCTCCGTCTTCTGCAGGACTGCTGCGGCGTCAGCAGTCTATTACTGCTCCTTCGTCTAGTGGTCGCCAGATTCTCTGCTTGAAAATATACTCTAGGTGCTTTTTGCTGGGACACGCTCGGTGGCGTCGAGGTCGGCGTAACCGCCGTCGAAGTGTGGAGTTCCGGCAAGGCCTCGTAGTCCCATGCTCTTGCGCCCATATCGAGCAGGGGCACTGACGAGGCTGCGCTGGAACCACGGAGCGGGTCCCGAGGCTTGCGATAATGAAACAGGGCGAAGATCTTACAGCACTCCGACTCGTTCTCCTTTTCCTTCTTCTTTTTCTTCACTGCCGGTAGCTTCACTTTGAAATGATCGCAGGACGTGTGAGATTTACCGGCGACGTCCGGCCACATAGTTCCTTCGACCACATCGCAGTAAATCTTCTCCAATCATTCAGCTGAATGGTTATATTCAATCGATGAAGCACAGTAAACAAATCCGAAGAAATACATAATTGATTGATAATAGAGAAGAAGAATTAATGAATCTTGAATAAACATCTTGAGGAAATGATGATCAATTGGCTTATTATAAAATTTGTCCACCTCTTCTATGATTCTTATACTGTTGTGGTTTTATTTCGCGAGATTATAACGTAAATGCTTGCATAACTTCGTAGCATTTCTATACTCATATCCTCCATTAATCTTGGATGAGCGGTCATTGTTCCTTTAATTACCAAAATCAAATTTGAAGAGAAGTGTCTATCAGAGATTCAAAATTCATGCTCAAACGTTGCATTAAATTAGCAAAACACTTACATTTTCAATTTTTAAAGGGGTTTCAAAGAAGATTCAATTAGAATATTACTCTGCTTTCTTGATTTGTAGCAGACAACAAAATTGTGCAAAAAATGCGAGCGTCTGTTTAAAGTTCACTATCTGTGAAAGTTGATTACGTTTAAGCCAAGAAGTGTTGTCTTCCTTACAGAAATAACTAGAAACGTTCGGTAAAAGTAAGTCGATGAAGAAGAAAAAAAGGTAATCTTGTGAGAGCTCTTTGTGTACGATGAAAGAGGGACTCTCAAACAATTTGAATAATTTCGATCTGATTTCCAATCCACCAAGTAAATTTGTATCAGAAGTAATTTATAAGTTCCTACAGAGATGGAAGACGATACTTGTAGATACGATAATTTTGCGAGGTGATTTCACATAACTAAGTATTTCCTGCCTTGTTGAGAATATTACAAGCTATTGCACAAACCACTATAGTTGATATTACTTCAACTAATATAAGCTCTTAATACCATTAACAACATTTATCAAAATTCCGAAACTTCGTAGCTCTGAACATTAATATTTCTCCGATGTTAATTTACTAAATCTTAATAAAGCATTCACATTAAACATTTACTTTTTAAAAGCTGCAGTTTCTCAAAATTTTAACTCCCAACAAGCTTTAACAAATCTCATATAACTAACATTTTGATGTAATAAATATCATCTATGATATTTATATTTCCTTTGTTAACTATGTGGATAACAATTTGCGTTAACTACTTTTAATCATCGAAAATGCATCGAAAAGCGTAGTTTAGATAATAATAATAACAAGCGCAGAGTAATTTGAAGTTTTGTCCTGTTCTTGTTCAACTGTTGTCGAAATTCGATTACTAAAAATAAAGGAGAATTTTATGAAACTCGGTCTTCTTGTACTATGTTTGACATTAAGTGACACTCACGTTGATTGCCATCGTCGCGAGATAACAATAACGATTAATCGCAAATAACAATATAACAGCGTGAAACATTAACGCACCTTGCGCAATTATGGAAGTATATTTGGCAATTCCATTAGAATCATTTTGTATTGATTGGCACCTTTTTGCTCGAGAAATGAAAATACACTTACGTTAAAGCATTTTGTGAGAGATTCAATTCACACTTTCTCTTTTGTGAGTGAAAGTTAAAAGAGTTTTCTAGTACTTTATTTGAGCGGTCACTTTTTTATCAAAGTAGAGCAACGTTTATTTTAAACTTATATTACTTTACGTACTTTTTATGCATTACAAACTACTTATGTGAATTATTAACGATAGTTACGCGCACAAGAGGTGAATCGCATAAAAAAAATGTTAAAGTACCAAAACAACATAATAAACTGCTTTTTTTAATAAACTGTTTTTTTACTATTATCTTTTTCACTAAACAAAAAAATTAGTATTTTATATAAGAATCTCATTAGCGGATTCTAGATGATAAAATAATGCCTAGCAAATACACAACAACATTCAGATTGATCGCAGCTACTGTCGCCGCGACGGCGGTCGCAAAAGCATTTCGAGTCACATTGTTTGCACGACACCGTTTCCGTCTGACCTGAATGACGTCACATGATGATCGAAGGTCACGGTCAACAGACACAACTATAACAACGAGAACATGCTCTTTTGTGAGTAACTTGAGCTCAAATTTAACATTTCAATAAGATTACACCAGGTTCAGCTTACTAAACGTTTTATTTAACAAGTTCCTGAATGCTCATATCTTTCATATAACTCAAGTTTAGATGTGTTTATTGTGTTAATTTAAATTGCATTTCAGATTTTATCGATCCACAACCACTTCAGTCTCTCAAATACTTCAACAAATGGCAATTAAGTTTCATACATATTCATATTTTTCTCTTAAAACCCCAGTTCAATGTTCGGCAAAATGACAATAGCGTACAGGTGTTTTCTTGTCTATAGGCAGTAAGATCTTTGGATCACATAGAAACAAGATATGATTCTTTGTGTCATGACATACATCTCCTTTTGAGTTTAAAGACACTTGTTTTCTTGAGAATCTGCATTTTGTCAACTATTTTTTTAATTTTCTTTCAATTTCTTTCATTAAAATTTTATTTTTAACACTATCTCTGTAGCATTCTTTATATTTCGGAAACATATCTTAAAATTCGCACATGTCAAATGTCCAGTCACTTAAAAATCTTTCTTCATGTACCAATTGTCTTGCTATCATAAATTTAAAAACATTCGATTCTTCACGTATCAAAGATATTCTCCAAAATTTATTAATAACACAAGTATTGAAACTTCAAGACTTCGTTTAGATACCAATAAGCTGTGGTACACTCGCCGCAGGTGGCTGCGTCTCACGAGGATATCATCCCACTGTCACTTCTAGAAGCAGTTAAGGGAGGATCGTTATCCACCTCGTCATCCTCCGATTCGCTACACTCAGGAACAGGTGCTTGCATTATTAAGATTTCAATGAGACCGAGAAGTGACAGCAGGTTGTGCGCTTCACGATTTAACAAAGCTTTCGAAAAAGGTACAAGATATCATTGGCGTTCTGCACGCACTCAAGATACTTTCCAGCCGACGTCGCTGATCACCAATCCAATTCACAACCGTTACGGAAGTGGAATCTAACGAGTGTCATATCGGAATATAACGAAATGTCGCATCGTCCTTGACATTCGACGAATGCGTTATGATAATTAGTATATACGACTTGATCACACCCTGAAGAAATCCGGAGCAGCTTTGAGAACAATCCCTCGTGAATCTCACAATTATCGTCACTCCTTCATACACATTATGTCATAAACTAGCACAACGACGAGAATCGTACATCTTCGTGAACAATCGGTCTTCATAAGATATAGAATGGCGGAAAGCGAACAGCTGAACGATCGTATTGTCTCAGCCGATAGTGGTTTTTTCGTGACGTGAGAGAGGAAGACCAGCTTGCAGCTCACTATCCCGTACTGCGGTACACGCTAGCGGTTTTCTCTCGCGCGCCACCCTCTTGCGCGCCCCGCCGACCTTCCAACCCCTGTATTTTACCTTTTCTCTCTAGCTAGGCATCATCAAGTGCGCTGTCGCGCTCTCTTCCTCTCTCTCACTCTATCATCGCGCAGGGTGTAATCGTCGTTTCTCTCACTCGCTCCTGTGGATGTTGTCCTCTTCCGTCTCTTCACCGTCCGTCGACGCCGTCCGTCGTGAAAGGGCGCACATACATGCATATAGCGCCGCCGTTGTCAAGGCGACTGCGCCACTTTGGAGTGCGTCGGGGAGATCTACTCTACCTCTCATCATCTCAGCTCAGTAGCCCGTCATGTCCAAGTTGCTTGTGAATCTCTAGTGTCCTGTGAATAACAAATGACCACGGAACATTGATATAAATGACGGTGACACACGCGATTTATTTACTCTTTATCCCCAACTTTAACCTCCAGTCTGCTCATGTTTTTGCAGATTCCTTTAATAGTAGTATCTTTTAAGAAAAACGATATACTACAGAGCCACAATCAAAGATTATGGTAATTAAATTACCAATTTTTTGGCAAAAACAATATTTTCGTGAGTTTTTCTTTCAACGGATTTCTAAAATTAAAAAAAGCTATATAATGTTGGGACTGTGAGTCTTTATTGTTTAAAATTACTTATATTAACGATTTTCAGTGTGAGACGGATTTATTTTTAACGTAATTAATTTTTTTACTAAAATATATTACTGTTCTTTTCTAATATTTCATTAATTAAATTATTTAAATAACTGATTTTTTTGTATAACTCGTTAATAAGCTCTCTCTATTAATGAGCATTCCTGTTTGATCAGCGAGAACACGTGTTGTATTAAGGGTATGCTTCCACTTTTGGGGCGGTGGGTTATTTTGGAGTAACGGAACAGGATGAATGGACGGCTCGGATAGACAGCATCGATTTGTACCGAGAGTCAAGCCAAACTTGCGTGACGAGCTTGCGCTGTAACGTAGGCGGAAGACTTGAAATCTAAGTATGAACCACGTGGTTTACTACTATGCATCGAGTTTACATTAATAAAAATTCAAAAGGATGTGCGAGAAACTAACATTTATAATGAAACCTTTTCCGTTCTGTTTAACCTCCTATGATCACCATTTTAATGCAACTTCATGCATCGCACCGTAATTTTTTGCACAAAAATTTAGAGATAAAGATTTAGCTCGATTCCACTAATGTAAGATTAACTTTATTCTCGGTTTAATTTACTCTTTATCTTTTTGCAATTTTAAGAATTATTTTCTAATTTTTTTCTAATTCTTTTTCTAATTTCTTTCTAATTTTAAGAATTACATTAAGATTATTTTTATTGAAAAAATACTGTAGTCTCGACATTTTGACATAAGATTTGTGTCTCGAAATAATTTCATTAATCTGCTATTAATAGGTGTATCACTCTACTATTAATGTAAATATTATATAAATTATCGTTATATGGTGTATGATAAATTAGACAGTACCAAGTATGTAAATATGAAACCGAAATTTACCAATATAGATGGCCATAGCTGTCAATGTAGTTGCCGTCAGACCGCGTCATTAACGCCATTTCTTGTTCTGACATCTGACAAAGATTTTCAACTCACAACAATACAAGTTTCATACAACAG